CGTGGGCAGAAAGATCATTCCTCGGGTTGATACTCTTGCTAGATTGAACCTAGTAAAGAGCTTTGTGGCAGGAATGATAACTCCACTGAGCTTGGCTTGCTCCAGCACTCTCCAAAGGATAATATTGGCTGAACTTCCTGGGTCCATCAAAACATGTTTAATTTTAAAATCTATGACATTTAAAGAGATTACCAAGGCATAGTTGTGCAGCAGCAATAGTCAATCTTTGTCTTCCTCAATGACTTCCTAGAGTCTCTTACTATAGGTCACTGACACCTTCGTCTTTTTTGCCATCGAAAATGTCACTTTATTGACCTCGTTCCCCTCGAAAATCATGTTGATCGTCAAACGTGGAGGATCTTCTCCTGCTTTGATGGTTCTGCATTATCATGATTGCAGTCGTAGTTGTTTTTACCCCGATCACTTAAGAATTCTCTGAGATGGCCATTTTTCAGCAATATCGGCACTTCCTCATGCAAATGAAGGCAATCCCATATCCGGTGGCCGTTGGTCCCATGGTATTCGCACTACAAATTAGGATCCCTTTGACAGGGATCCGTTCTTATTGGCTTCGTGAACCGTGCTTCCTTAATATTCTTCATAGCCGATACTAGCTCCACCATGCTGACGTTGAAGTTTTATTGGGAAAGACTGGGGTAGGAAGAGTCTCGAGAACCCGATATCTCCTTGTCCTGCATTGACTTGTTATTTCGGTCGCAATCAAGTCTCCTATTGGTTGTGAATTTATCCGCCGATCGAAAACCTCTACCGCTCCTTCAGCTCTTTCATAGGGCAAAAACCACCCTCTTAAGGACCTTCAATTTGTGATGAAATCATCCTTTGAATTATCCTTATTCTTCTCCTGGTCCCGACCTTGGTTGATGTTGGAAAACCGAGATGATCATCCTCAATTATTATCTTTGATTTGTACCGATAGTGAACATCTGCCCATGTTGTTGCCTGGGACTCGAGCACGCTTTCTTTCAATTTTCGGGAAGCATCGGAACTTCTCAAATTCAATCCTTTAGTGAATGCTTCAGCTGCCCATTCGTTTGATACGGCCGGTAGTATCATCCTTTCCTTCTGGAATTTGGTCACTATCTCCTGCAGCAATTCGAACTCTCCTTGTGCAATCCTAAATATGTCGGTCTTTTGGGCCTGTACCTCTCTAGCCCTGACATGGGCCTTGATAAAAGAATTCGCGAGAATCTCGAAGGAATTTTTTGAGTGGTCGGGCAAGAGCGAATACTATGTCAGGTCCCCCTTCGTTAGGGCCTCCCTGAATTTCTTCAATAAGACTGACTCAATCTCATAGGGAGCTAAATCGTTCCCATTCACCGCCATTGTATAGGTGTGATTTGCTCCTCTGGATCCAAAGTCCCATCATACTTCGGCATGTCCGGCATTTTGAACCGCTTCGGGATCAATTCCGATGTCGTGCATGGTTGAATGGCAACAGGGTGTACTTCTTTGAGTCTGGTCTTTGCAACACTAGTGGTGCGCCCAAAATTTGATCCATTCCGACATTTATTTCCCTCATAAACCGCATGAGTTCGGTTTTAAAGGGATCATTCTCATTTTTGTTACCGGATCTGCTACCATTCTCCCTGGCCTTATCGAAGCTGACTTCTCCCCTCAAGGTGTTGTTGTCGACCTTATGCGTTGTTTGGTTTATGGGAGCACCGGGAGGATCGGGAGGAACTGGACCTTATCTATTGCGTTGTTGGAAGCACCGGGCAATGCCCGCTTCAACTCCGTCATGACCTGATCTTGTCACGAGAGGTGGCCCATAATGGCTTTTCGTTGCTCCCTCGGGATCCTTACTGTTTCAACAACGTGCTCGTCTTCAGCATCATCAAGAATTCCCTCTCAAACATGTCACGAATATTGCCCATCGTAGATCGGCATGGCCTCATCCCCCTCATTGTAGGTATCACTGATCGAATCTTCGTGCTGAGGCTGATTTCCTTGGGCCACAACATTGTATGCGATATTGACATCATTATCTGCCAATTTATAGGATTTTTGCTAAGAATAAGAAATCGAACAGGTTAGTAATGGATACAGGGATCAACTCAATTACACGGCTGTCTAAGCCCCACGGTGGGTGTCAAACTATTTAGCCGTAAAATAGTACACTTGAATTTGTACGTGGTTTATAGACAAGTGAATCAATTTATTTTTTGTGTACGGCAAAAATCAGAGGGTCCGATTTTGTGACCATTGAGGCACCTCGTAAAAGACCATCCCCGGAAGGCTTGAAGTTCAGCTTGGGGCTCAACCCCGAGGGTTCCCAATGATCGACCTCGATGCAGTACAAATCAACGGCTATGATGGACTAACGGGAAGTTCTCAAGGCACGTGACTAAAGCTAACCAAGTCTATTCAGCCTGCTCAAGCCCGTACCATGGCATTAAATGGTTGTACCAGTCGTATATCTTTGTAATAAATGCGTTTGTACTATGTTGGGATTCCCCTTGATATATATAAAGGGGGCCCTTGTCATTTTGTAACATAATATACAACATTAAATACAAGAACAAGAACATTCTCTGCTCTCTAACTCAGACACATTCTCCCTTGATTTTGTTATTTACATTGATTGCTTACACTTACTGCGTTCCATTAAATGTTCTTCATTTATTGCCCATTATTGGTCATAAAGAGCCTTCATCAGATCTCTCATACTGTTAGCCCTTCATCGGTTGTCCATAGCTTAGTATCGAGCTCGACCCCGAGGCCCCGTATAATCAGGCTCGATGCCCCGATTCTCAGCCGCTTGGTTTGCTTAAAAACACTATTTTCAAGTTCTTACCTTAGCTCCTAATCTCAGAATCAGCATCTATTTCCTAACAACTAGCATAAAAATAAATCACGTATATTTAAAACCACAAAATCAAATCTAATTGTAATTATCATTTTCAAGGTAAACAGTTTGGCACCCACCGTAGGGCTAAAAATAATAGTGATTGTTTTCTTACTGGTTTAACACATAACACAAGTTATCTTTCACGTTTTTTCTTGTCCAATAATCTTTGATTTCAGGTCAAATTGTCTAACTCAGTGAACGCATTTGAAAACAACGGTCTTGAAGACCATGTAGAGAATGGTGTAGCTGTCCCAGGTATTGGTGTACCACCACGAAACCCAGAGGACGCACCAGAGCCAATCCCCACGGATGTGGTCTCACATGATGCTCAACACGTCGATATAAGCTCCCACACTAACAGGAGAGTACACTAAAGAGACCAACAAGAAGCTCAGAAAACCCAGCTCGGGAGGAGCAAGAGGTTAGCCTTCACGTTATTTTTGAAATATTGCAGGCACAATAGCTGGCGATTGCTCAACTGCAAAGGCATAAAAAACTCCAAGAACAGCAGCACCGGAAATGGCTCCTCGAGCCAAACAGGTACTGGAAAGATCGAGTAACAACGGGTCAGCAATCGCCCCCGCTATTTTGAAGATGCTCGAGGACCTCACAATGATGATTGAATCGGGCAAAAAAATGATAGAAGCCAATGACAAAAAGGTAGAGACCTACAACTCGAGGGTCGATCAGATCCCGGGCGCACCCCTAATCCTGAAGGGTGATGATTTAAAGAAATTCGTGCAAAAGCCATTCCCGTCAAATGCCGCACCAAAGCCCATTCCGAAGAAATTCAGAATGCCCAATCTTCCAAAGTACAATGGAACCTCGGACCCCAACGAGCACGTCACTGCTTACACTTGTACGGTGAAGGGCAATGACCTAACAGACGATGAGATCGAATTCGTCCTGCTAAACAGTTCGGAGAAACACTCTCGAAAGGTGCCATGATATGGTATCACAGCCTAGCTCCGAATTCAATAGACTCATTTGCCATGCTGGCTAACTCTTTCATAAAGGTACATGTCGGTGCCATCAAGGTGGCTACAAGGAAATCCGACGTCTTCAAAATCAAACAAAGGGAAAACAAGATGCTACAGGAGTTCGTATCTCGCTTTTAATTGGAGCAAATAGAATTACTAGTGGTGTCCGATGACTGGGTAGTGCAGGCCTTCACCCAAGGCTTGAATGAGCAAAGCTCGATGGTTTCGAAGCAGCTGAAGCAGAATTTGGTTGAACACCCCGTCGTGACTTGGTCGGATGTCCACAACCGATATTAGTCGAAGATTAGGGTCGAGGACGACCAACTGGGAGCCCCCTCGGGCTCGGTATATCCAAGTAGACTTCTGCAAAGGAACCAAAGACAAACAAGGAAAGGTACCAACCATACACCAAAGATAGGAGAAATGCCCCAAGGCGTAACACACCACGAAATGATCGAAGAACCGACCGAGGCCAGAATCCTCAGGGACTTGTGAGTAGAGTGGAATTCGACAGGCATACAGGACAACAGAGGCACCCCACCTATCGAAGTACAACTTCAACGTCGACGGTTTAGGCATCGTATCAGCCATAGGTAAAATCAAAACCAGGTGGCCAAGGCCCGTACAATCAAATCTGTCATAGAGAAACCCTAACATGGTGTGCAAATTTCACGGCACACATGGTCACAAGACCAAAGATTGCAGACAGCTCCGAGAAGAAGTAGCCCGACTACTCAGCAGAGGACACCTTTGAGAGTTCCTTAGTGACCAAGCCAAATATCAGTTCCGGCAAATAGAGGCAAACAGGAAAAATGAACCACAACATGTCATCCACATGATCATGGGAGGAATCGACGTCCCACAGGAACCCACTATCAGAAGAACAAAAATCACTACAAGAAAAATGCTCGATAGCAAAGAGAAAACTAGTCCCTAAAAGCAAGGAATTGGTCCCAAATGGTCAATAGCAACCAGATAATCTAGTCCTTATAGCTTCCGCCACTAAAGGTCATTAAGGACTAGATGAGTCCCTAAAGAAACAAGTTACAAGTCCCTAAATCACATTCAATTTGCAACTAGAAAATCAAGTATATTAATATATAAATGATATTGCTTTTCATAAAATATTACCAAAAAATGATCAACATCAGTTAGTTGCACAGTATATCAATGATGTAAGCTAGTCACAATATAGTGTTCATAAACATTTAGCAAAAAACTACATATCACTAATATCCCTCAATTGTAATGTACAATTTTCTTGACATTCCCAGCAAAAAGATGGTTCAATCTATATGTCGTTAAAAATCTGCTTCTTGTAAACTTTAATATCCAAAACCTGTAAAAGGGATAAGAAATTTTAGTTAGAAAAATTGTAACTGTGTGGACGGAACAAAATCAGGTCTAGATAGAGAAAAAAGAAGAACAAAAAATTATTGGCTAGACACCATTGTTCCCTTTCATCACTTGAAAAAGTTGTCTTAAGTTATCTATAGGGACAAAGAATTGAGATAAATAGTTTAACTTAATGCAGCAAATCACAGTCTGTTATTTGTTCTGCTCTTAGCAAAAGGCTCCCATTCAAATGAACCAAATATCTATCTATTTTCAATACTAAATGACAGGAGATATGAATTACTCATGAAGAATAAGGATAATTTGTATGAATTTTCCAGTTAAGGCCCTGCAATATCACCAGTTAAATTTCTTATTACTTATTGGTCAAAGAGGTCCAAACACAAACTTATACCTTCACAATTCCATTCATATGTTTTCTAAGGTTTACCATGCTAAGAGTATTAGAAATGGGCAGAGTGTTGCCATCAAAGTCATAGACAAGGAAAAAGTTCTAAGGGTTGGACTTGTGAATCAGATCAAATGGAATATATCTATTATGAGACTAGTTAGACATCCTAATATCGTGCACCTTTACGAAGTCATGGCCAAGAAAATTAAGATTTATTTCGGGATGGAGTATGATAAATGAGGTGAACTCTTTAACAAGGTAGCGAAAGGAAACATTAAAGAGGACGTTTCACGAAGTTATTTTCGACCATTGATAAATGTTGTAGATTTTTTGCCATAGCAGGGGTGTCTATCACTGGGATTTAAAACTTAAAACTTACTGTTAAACGACGATGAAAACTTAAAAATTTCAGATTTTGGTTTAAGTGCTCTTGTCGAGTCAAAGCACTAAGACGGACTCCTACACACTACGCGCAAGACTCTAGCTTATGTTGCTCCGGAAGTGCTCAATAGAAAAGGCAATGATGGTGGAAAACTGATATTTGGTCATGTGGGGTTGCCCTATTCGTGTTGTTGGCTGGTTATCTTCCATTTCAGGACTCAAATTTAATAGAAATGTACAAGAACATGAGGTGTTGAGAAAGGACCAAAAACAGGTCTAACTGCGGGTGTTAAACCAGGCTGCCCCAGCCCATATGGAGGTGCTGATGTTGGAGGTGGACTCCCTCCATCATTAGGCATACCGGGCTGCATCTGTCTAAAAGTAGAGATCCCTGGTCCAACCATAGGGCCAAAATTAGGGTGAGCATGCCGAAAAGCAGAAGTATCAGATCCAACTACTGAAATAGATTATTTTAAAGGACTTGCACTCTATGGAACATCAAAAGGTGTAGTAGCATGCCTTTAGGGAAAGGTTGGTCGATTGGGATATTTGGTGCCCATGATCACAAAGGATCACTTCCTGATGTTTTTCCACCAAAAAAAAAAACAAAAGACATGTCATTATTATATTAGCACAAAAAAAGCAATGCAAGACTTATACATCAACCGAGAATAGTAGGAAAACAAAATATTAGCAGAGTTAAAGTACAATGCAAGACTGCAAAAGGGGAAAAAGGCAAAAAATAAAGATAAGGACAAAGGATAAGTAAAATAGCTCTGTCTAAGTAGATAAATACTTCATCGGAAGCTATTATCATTTTGTCAATGAGCAGTCCGACGAGTTTGACAGCAAAGAAGGAATAGTTCAGAGAAAGAGGGATAGGGCAAAGGAAAATATCAGTTGTATTTCCTTTTAATGCGAAGATGTACTTATAGATTGAATTGTTGATAAGCTTTCCTTATATGTACCAGTTTTTTTAATTTTAATAAACTATCAATTTTAATGAATTTATTTACACTCTGTATAAAAACTAAATGGTTAGGATCTAGCTTCAGCAAATACAGAGGAAAAGCAAAAAGTGGCTAGGATTCCAAACTTGAAATCATTTGATATCATTTCGTTTTATGCTAAGTATGATTTATCCAAATTATATGAGGAACTTTTTTAAAGAATGAAGCTAAATTCACATCCTGGAAACTAGCGTCCGACATAATGTCCAAGCTGGAAGATACCGCTAAATGCCTTAAACTAAATGAAGGCCTAAGACCAGTTTTTCAGGATATTGTTTGGACATGCAGAAGAATAACAACCTCAGCAATCAAAAAATCAATATATAACCAATGCCTAACAAGCAGAGCACAAGAGTTCAAACTAGAGATGAACCTAGAAGCCGTAGAACTTTTACCTTGTATGTGCTTCTTTTAATCATTCATCGTCCATTAAATATTATTACTGATATCCTCAACAACATATTAGTATCAATATATTATTATCACTTTCAACAACTAGCGTCTCTGGTATGGGTTATCAAACTTCAACCACTAGCGTACATTAAGAAATCAGTAATAAGACAAATAACTATGCACAACCAGCAAATTCAGAATCAACAGAAGATATAAATTTCACAAAGGATATTTAATAACATACACTTAAATCAACAAAATAAATTGATTTTTCAGGTAAGTTGTTACTCACTTGGTATCATCAAGGATCTGAATAGTCATTCTCCTGAACTGGAGGCGGGAAATTAGTTTGTTGTGCTAATAATAATTCTTTTAATTGCCTCAGTTCTTTTAATTGCACCCCAATTAAATAGGTTTCGTCAAGTCGGTTATCAACAAGTTACATCCATTGCTTACTTGGTGTCATAACCTTGGATAGTAAATAAAAAAAAAAGTTTAAACAATTAAGATAACAAAAGTATTCAGATGCACATTACTTAAAAAAAGTACTAAGATACACATTACTTGTTATCAAACTTGTCAAACTCATATTTATAACTAAACTTCCTACGATTTCACAAGAATGAGATAAACTATAAGTTTATATGCATAACATATAACACATAATTGCTCAAGAAAATGAGAAATTAAAACACATAAGCTACTTCATAGCTAAATCACTGATTTTCTTTCTTAAAGGCTAGATGCATAGAAAGCATTTGGTTGAGCTCCGGAAAAATGGTGGTGACACATTAGAGTTTTACAAGGCATGTTCTTGTTTAAATTCTGAGAATAGTTATAACATTGTGCATAATGAACTCTCCTGCAATTATTGGAAGACCATAGTGATTTAACAGATTCTTGGACCTTAAAAATGGCAATTCTACAAGAACCTCTCTTCGGGATTAAAAGATATTGTCTGGACATCTAGAAAAAAACTATGAAGAAAAAAAGTTTTTTTCTTGTAATCAACACAATTTTGTTCTGGGCAACAAAAACTATTGACTTTTCACTCTGCTGAAGGTCAGTGATGTTCGGCCAAAAATGCGTATATTTATCCATTGTTATCTTATATTCTAATACTTTTAATCATCATTTGAGTATTAGCTATATTACTTTGTGCTTAATACTATATTTTAACTGTGTAGGAATAAAGTGGTGTGAAGATAAAAGGATTTGGAGCAAAATTAATTAAAACACGGAAGAAAAAAAAGGAAATTAGATAAGGAGACAATGGGGGGACACCCTTTGGTTTTTGTCCCCTCAAGTGTTGGACAATTGAAAAAGAAATACAATTCCAAAAGAAGAATGGATCCGAAGAACGCAAAAATATTCTGCCTCCGGCGCCACGGCTAGCGCTAGGCGCTGGTCTGGACGCTGGGGCGGGGATTTCTTCTATTTTGTTCTGGACAAGGTTATTTTGGTCCTATACGACTTTAACTCGTATAAAAGGAGTTCTAAACTTATTTTAGAAGGGAGAGAACATACTTTGAAGGAGAATTCACGTGGGGCAACATACACCACGCTTGGAGGAGGCTTCTAACTAATTTTTCTTCTCTTCTCTTCCTTTAATTTTATAGTTTCTTAGTTCTAGAGTTTTGGGTGCTACATGAACGTTGTAATTTGAAGTTTAAATTGTTCTTATTATTTTATCATATTGGTTTATTTATTCAATCTTGAGCTTAATTATTTGATTACTTGATCACCAATTGAATAGTATCTACGAATCTAGGATTGAACTCGGGAGAGGGAATTCTAGATTGCATATAAGATTGAGCAGAGCAAGATCTTAACTCTGAGGGGGAGCAGATTTGCGATTAGGATAGGAATATACCTAATTGCCTTGCTTGGTTACTATACGGGAATTATTAATGCATTCTTGTTAATCCTAATTTCATAGGAATATAGGTGTTAGGTTAGCTTGAATAGGCGAGTTGTACTTAGGGAGAAGGCTATGAGCAATATTAACCCTGTAAACCAATAAACCAGATAAATTAATTAGACGATTTAAGTGAAAAACTCAACGGGATTGTTAGCTAACCCATAGCTCTAGAATATTCACTCACATTGAATTCGTCTCTATAATTTTCCAACTTGTTTTATTTATTCTCTTAGATTGTTACGTTAGATTAGTTTTATCTAAATATTCATACGTTAGGATTTGCTTGAATAGATTAACTGTTTGAGTTTAATTTAGTTAATAGTTAATCACAAGTCCATGTGGGTACGATATCTGGACTTACAATCCTATATTATTTGTCGACCACGTATACTTGTGTATGCGTTTGGGAGCAACAAGTTTTTGGCGTCGTTGCCGGGGACTAAGAAATTAACTATTCTACTAAATTATACTTTTACTATTATCTTTACAAGTTTTATTTTTCTTTCTTTGTAAATATTTTTAATTTTATAACTATTTCATTGATTTTTCTCTTAGAGTGTTTCTAGTTCTCTCGGCATGACATTTGGGGATGAAGCATACCGAGATAAGGTTATTGATGAAGATGCATGGTTGACGGAAGATTTTTATGGCCCGTATTTTTGGGCTTGTCATGACCTGACATCTTGCAAGCCTGAATTTGAATATGGGAGTAAGGGTTGGTATTGTGATGAACATTATCGATTAAGAGAATATGCGCAACGGCATTGTTTGTTAACAACGTTGTTAAATGATTGGTCTAAGGAGAGAGTTGATCTTGCACAAGAAATTGACAGGTTTAGCTTGGCTGTGCGGAACTTGGATGCAGATATGAGTGCAAAGGTTGATGCATGTAACGCCCAACAATTTAGTGATAAGTTGTGTGAAGCTGAAAAAGTTCTTCTAGACCAAATTGAGGAGCTAAAACGAGAATACCAATTATTAGACCAAAATATTATTAATGATGCCAAGGTCAACGAAGAGTGCAAAATTGAGGATGTCAAAGATAATGCAATTTTGGAGTTGGAGCGTATTGGACCTCATTCTAAACACTTTTCAACATTGTGTTTGGTTGATGACATGGAAATTGATCCATTCGAGCATATGGAGGAGTCAATAGATGAGGAACAAAGTATTTATATTGTGAAATTTGCTATACCGAGGAGGCAAAATGACATCCCGCACTTAAGGGCCAAGAAGTGCAAGATGCGATATGTATTGCTTGTTTTTTTTTATTTTTACACCACCGCCCAGGAACGTGATACAAAAGTTGATGCAAAATTGGGGGCGCAATTCATGTCTTCAAGGTGGAAGGAAAAGCGATGAAAGTGATGGCGTCGTTCCGCGACATTAAATCAAGAGCTTGTTGGGAGGCAACACAATTTTATTTTTCTTTTTTTCTTTTGTTTATTTTTTATTGTGTTATTTGTTTTTTGTAGTATTATTTTTGTGTTTTGTAGGAGTAGGAGTATGAAATCAAAGCCAATAGGCATGTGCAAAAGCGAGCAGTGGTTGAAACTAAGTGTGAGGTACCCGCACAAGGGATCATACCTAAGAGAAGTCTGAGTATCCCGTGAGCTGTTAATTCTTCGGCCTTTGGCTTACCGGGGAATTTCTTTTACCCTCTTGTTATTTTCAGTGTGCATTGAGGACATGCACAATTTTAAGTGTGGAGTGAGGAGATTGTTTGGGTGATTTTCTATGCTATCCTAGATTTGTTGTAGTATTTTTCTTAGTGTAGTTACTTGTGCTAAAAATAAGATAAAAACAAAAATAAAAAAATCAGAAAATTGAGACTTTTCCTGATGATGGATTTTGTGGACAGCTTTCTTGAGGGATTAAGGTCCAATAAAATAAAAAAAATCTACAAATATTTTCTTTTTGTTCTAGTTAGTTTTAGTTAGGTAATAATCCCCCTTGGTTTTTCGTTGTGCATCGGTTCTTTTCTTGGGGATGTAACTTGAATTGGGTAATTTTTTATTTTTTATTTTATTTTTAGGATTAGATTTATTTAGGAGTAGAAAAAGAGGGAGAAGAAAAAGCTTTGTGACTTGTTTGGTACTAGCATATTTGGGCTGAGTTTGAGTAGTACTTTCCTCTGAGTGCTTGAGTAATGAATAAAGTAGCAAACTTTCGACGCCTACGCTCAAGGTTGTGACTCTGTATATAGCTTATTCTTATTTTGTCATTCGCTATGACCCTGTCTATCGTAGAGTAGAATTGATCCATCTTGAGTGATACTTGTGCCATGTGTGGTAAGGATTTCTTGCATATTCCATGTTATGCATCTTAGTCTAGAACTTGCCCTGCATGTTATTGAAGCGAAATAAATGTGTTGCTCTGTTTAGAAGATGATAATAGGCTTTCTTTGATATGTCTGGTGAATTTTAGCCTTTTCAGATATTGTACCACTAGTTAGCCCTTTGAGCCTGCAACCTTTTGTTTGATAGCCGTATTTTCTCCTTGATCCTTTTATTGAATCCCTAGCTTTTGCACCCTACTTCCTTGAGCATTGTTTCGTAGACCGTGATAGTAATTGATAAATTTGAAGAATGAGATGGTTAAGTGAGAAATGGTGACCAATGATGGCTGAAAGGGAATGAAAAGGCTTTCTTGAGAAGGAATGTGACATAAAGAGAGGGCTGAAAAATAAAGTGAAGAGTAGAAAATAATGGGTGATGAAGTCTAAAAGTGCAAAGTGCTTAGGGAAGTGTAAGTCACTATTATATAATTCTCCTACCCGTTCCTTAGCCAACATTACAACCCGTCAAAGTCCTTTTTGATTCTATTCGAGCATACTTAATTAGTAGAGATGTACATAATGGGCAAGCCTATGGTTCTTTGTGCATACATGTGAGTTTCTTTGTGAGTGCGAGAGTTGTTCTTTGATGCAAAGTCCTTAAATTATATTCATTCTTTGATTTGAGTGTATAGACTATTATTCTTGTGAGGGCTCTTGTTTCATGATAGATAGGTGATGTTATTAGCTTTATTTGACAGAATAGGTGAGCGAGCTTAAATTTGGTGAGTTAGAGTCCCTCTTTGAGGTTTGGAGGTTACAAGTTTGTTGTTCGTTTGTGACTTGTATATCTTGCACGATGATGAGGAAGCGTATATCTAATGGTTTGAGTTGCTATAGGGCCTAATTGTTAATATCAATCGAAGTGGTGATATTTCTAGGCTTGATTTATTGAGAATGGTTTTAATGCTTACTCGAGGACGAGCAAGAGTCTAAGTGTGGGGTGTTGATGTTCGGCCAAAAATGCATATATTTATCCATTGTTATCTCATATTCTAGTATTTTTAATCGTCATTTGAGTATTAGTTATATTACTTTGTGCTTAATACTGTATTTTAACTGTATAGGAATAAAGCGGTGTGAAGATAAAAAGATTTGGAACAAAATTAATTAAAACGCGAAAGAAAAAGAAAGGAAACTAGACAAGGAGACAATGGGGGGACACCCTTTGGTTTTTGTCCCCCCAAAGGTTGGACAATTGAAAAGGGAAACACAATTCCAAAAGAAGAACGGATCTGAGGAACGCAAAAATATTCTGCCTCCGGCGCCACGGCTAGCGCTAGGCGCTGGTCTGGACGCCGGGGCGGGGATTTCTTCTATTTTGTTTTGGACAAGGTTATTTTGGTCCTATACAACCCTAACTCGTATAAAAGGAGTTCTAAACCTATTTTAGAAGAGAGAGAATATACTTTGAAAGATAATTCATGTGGGGCAACATACACCACGCTTGGAGGAGGCTTCTAACTAATTTTTCTTCTCTTCTCTTCCTCTAATTTTATAGTTTCTTAGTTCTAGAGTTTTGGGTGCTACATGAAAGTTGTAGTTTGAAGCTTGAATTGTTATTATTATTTTATCATATTATTTTATTTATTAAATCTTGCGCTTAATTATTTGATTGCTTGATCACCAATTGAATACTATCTACGAATCTAGGATTGAACTCGGGAGAGGGAATTCTAGATTGCATATAAGATTGAGTAGAGCAAGATCTTAACTCTGAGGGGGAGCGGATTTGCGGTTAGGATAGGAATATACCTAATAGTCTTGCTTGGTTACTATACAGAAATTATTAATGCGTTCTTGTTAATCCTAATTCTATAGGAATATAGGCATTAGGTTAGCTTGAATAGGTGAGTTGTACTTCGGGAGAAGGCTACGAGCAATATTAACCCTGTCAACCAATAAACCAGATAAATTAATTAGACGATTTAAGTGAAAAACTCAACGGGATTGTTAGCTAACCCATAACTCTAGAATATTCACTCACATTGAATTGGTCTCTATAATTTTTCAAATTGTTTTCTTTAATCTCTTAGTTTGTTACGTTAGATTAGTTTTAGCTAAATATTCATATGTTAGGATTCGCTTGAATAGATTAATTGTTTGGGTTTAATTTAGTTGATAGTTAATTACAAGTCCCTGTGGGTACGATATCTGGACTTACAATCCTATATTACTTGTCGACTACGTATACTTCCGTGTGCGTTTGAGAGCTATAGTCAGCAAATTGCTACTAGGATCGAGGAGATTACAGGGGATTTGGCTTTGACTAATGATAGACAAAAAGGAGTTGATGATAAGGTAGGTTCAGGTGATCGAATAACAATGCAAGAGGATGGTTTGAATCGAGCAAACAATGGTAGTAAGCAGCAAGGAGTTACAATGGTGGCTCAAGAAGGTAACAGTGATCGAGCTATTGTAGATCGAGTGGAGCATGTTGTAATGCCTGAAGCTATTGTTGCTATCAGTAGTGACATTACTGCTTCTTCAGGTCAAGTTGAAGCTAGGAAAAATATTGAGGGTGTAGGTGTGGAGCAGGTCAAGAAAAAGCCAACTAGAGAGGATAGGAGGTTGAAGGATATTCTTGCTGGTACGATTTTCGCGAGGATGTACATAGCTACTGTTGGTGCATTGAAGGCTGCTGATGATCGAGCTAATACCTCAAACAAACCTGATATGGTTCAACTGGTTGGGGCATCTGATAATGTGAAGGAGTTACAAGGTCATCAGTTGGTGAAGGAAGTAGCAGCGTTGATGAAGTCTCAAAATCAAAGTCCTATTACTGCGATGAAGTTTTCAAAGGATGGGAATTCAAGTTTGAAGGTTGTTAATGCTGTGAATACAACTGGCGTGGCTGTTTTAGATAGTTCACTTGCTACAGGTGATGAGGCAGATGTTTAGCAAGTTCAAAAACCAGTAGCTGATGCAACAGGAAAGGGAAAAATATGGACATGAAAGTGTTCAAGTTGCTGCAAATTCCAGTAGCAATTCTGATGGGAATATTGGTGCACCTATATCTAGATTGAATGCCTATAAATTGGGCAATAATGACAAGAAGAATATGGTGGAAGGCTGGACCACAGTGGCTTGCAAAAAGATTTCTACAACACAAACCATAGTGTGTGTACATGTAATATTTTTGCAGAAATTTTTTATTTTCCTATATTGTCAGCTTTATTCGAACCAAAAGTTAAAAGGGACATCATCTCTTGACCACTCATAACTATTTTCCTATATAAGCTTGGTTGGACTAGACAACATCGTATAAGATAAAAGTTTACAAGTAATGTATGATATATGTTTAAAAAGCAGGAACATGAGCTCAAGAGACTTGAAGGTCATAGAATTGGGAAAAAAAGAGAGAAAGGAAATGAAATCACGAAGAATCAAAAAAGTGCTAACAACAATGTACAATGGAGTTGGCTCTAAGAAGAGTCAAATTAAATCAATTACATACGAACGTAACATAATATGTTACATTGCTAATTTACATTACTGTTTCTCTTCATCTAATTTTTAAAAATATTAAATTTGGGTGATAAGTTGGCTATACAATTTAAAGAACCGATAAAAATCATGGTAAAGAAACTGCACTAGAGCACATAATAATAAAAAAATTCAACCAATTAATCACCTCATATAAAAAACCACAAGACATCCTACAAAATTTTCATCATAGAGATAGAAAGATGCAAAGAAGTGAAAGGACTCATAACCAGAAGTGCGCCTCCATTATGACTATAAGCCTCTGTTAATCTTTTGATTCTTCACCTAAGTCTCGGCTTCATCTTTTAACTTTTTCTTCTTTAATTTTCTTGTATACATACACACACTCCGTCTCTTTTTGTGTTTTTGACTGCTTTGGAACCTTAGATCATTAAGTTATACAATGTGATTCACTCCATTTTTGCTAGATTTTATCTCAAATCATTTGAATTCCAACTGAAGTCTCCATCTTTTTCTTTAAATTGCAGGTTTTATTTATTTAATAAGCCCATAACTATGGAGTTAGGGGATAACAAGATTTTTGAAGGTAGGGTTGCTACTAGCAGCGACTCTACTGGGAGACAAACTCATGACCCTTCAAGCAAGTCCCCAGAAGAATTGTATAACGCAAATCTCAAAGGAGAAAACCATCGCAGAGACGAAACTCTACAAGAAAAACTCAAATTTCTCCTCTTTGACCTACGAGCCCCATCTTTAAACTAATATTCTCACTTTTATCACTCACACAATAACTATCACTATTCTAAACAACCCAATTGCATAAAACAACTAAAGAAACAGAAAATTACAGAACCCGATTTTTGATTTCTGGTTCAATCAGAAAAAAAACAAGAAGAAGAAACAAGGAAACGAAACAGATAAAAGAGAAAGAAATTAAACTTTTTATCTAAAAGAAATTAAATTACTCTTGATTAGGCAGATAATCCAATGGTAGAGTTTGTGTAAAGTATCAAAATTTGACCCCAACCTTCTGAGTTTGAGGTGATGAATTTTGCAACCTTTTGAGTTCTGACTGATGAAGTTTGCAACCTTCTGAACTTTGAACAGAATTGAAGTCGCCGCTTAATTAGGGATTGCAGTGTGAAAGTGAATTTTTGGGAGAGATTTTAGGGTGAAAGTGAATTTTTGGAGGGATTTTACAGTGAAAATATATTTTTGGGGTTTTTTTTACTTTACTTTCAGATTCTGGCCTCTATCCCGCTAAAATCGAGTATTAGAGACCAGGTATTAAATTCTTTTTAGACTAGAATAAGGCATCATTTGTTTTTTTTTAAATATTAAGACGTCTGAATCTGAATACACATCTGAATATCAAGATGTGTATTAAGATTAAGACATCTAAATTTGTATATGCATCTGAATATTAAGATATGTATTAAGATCTGAATACAAAATGATTAAGACTATTTGTTTTTAATATCTGAGTGTATAAAATTTATCTTTATTTGAAAGTTAATAAACATAAAATTCAAATAAAATACTAATTAATCTAGTATTCTATCAATAAAATATTTTTTTTAAGATATAGTAAATGCTGGTGGTGATGGCTAATGGTGGTGCTTGTGAATGCCGACTAGAGGTGGTGGTTGGTGGTAGGTTTGGTTGATGGTGGTGGTTCTTGGTAGTAGCTAGTGGTGATTAGCAGTGGTGGCGATTATGATTTAGGATGGTAGTGGTGAGTGGTGATAGTTAATAATGGTGGGTGGTGGTGGTAGTTGTATTTAAGGAAGGTGGTGGTAGGTGGTGGTAGTTTATAATGATGGGTAGTACTGGTTATGATTGTTGATGGTGATGGGGTGGTTAATTGTGGTAGTTGAGGTGGATGAGTGTTTGTGGTTAAGAATGATGGTGGTGGAAGTGGTGCGGATGACGGGTGGTGGTAGTCGATTATAGTGGTGGCTATGATTGAGGATGATGGTGGTGATGGATGTTGAGTATGGTGGTGGTGATGGCATGGTGGTAGTTGATAATGGTAGGTGATGACGACAATTAATAATGAATATGGATGACAGCATCTTAATGAAATTAAGTCTCTATTATGGATCTTAATCATACAGACCTATTCAGACCCATTAAGTGGTTGTGAAGTAAAAAAAAAACAAACACACTTAATGGTTAAGATCTGAATAATTAAGATGCAGACTTCAAAAACAAACACACTTAATATTTGAGATCTGAATGATCAAGATTCAGACATCCATTAAGTGCAAACAAATGAGGCTTAAGTCTAGTCGTGTATTTATAAAACAAATTGGGTATTAGAAACTAAAAAAAATCTCATCCTTATAAGTACACTTTTACAGACCATATATAAAACTTGTCGCTAAATACTGGTCCCTAATAAGCCTTTTTCTTGTAGTGAATATCGATCACTAGGGAAAAGCGAACTCGAGGTTACATACCCGATGATGCTCTCACATTCAGCGATGAGGACATCGAGACCCTGTCTCAGCCTCATAACGACACACTGGTAATCTCGTTTCTAGTAGATACATTTCAAATGAAATGTGTACTTGTGGATCCAGGTAGCTCGGCCAACATTATCAGGTCGAGGGTGGTGGAGCAGCTCGGACTGCTTGACCAAATCGTGCCCGCCTCTCGAGTCCTCAACGGATTAAACATGGCGATCGAAACAACGAAAGGGAAAATCACCCTCCCGGTCAACGTGGCTGGCACGACCCAAAAAACCAGATTCCATGTCATCGAAAGAGACATGAGGTACAACTCCTTGCTCGGAAGGCCATGGATACACTGCACGAGAGTAGTATCATCAACCCTTTATCAAATGATGAAGTTTTCGACGAAGGACGAAATAAAAACCGTGTATGGGGAACAACATGCAGTGAGGGAAATGTTCGCGGTGCACCATGTGGCACCGACGTCAATGCCCCCAACATCGAAGGAGCGAAAGGATAAGCAAACATTGAAGTAGCAATCATGAGACACATACTAGGCTACATATCAACAAAACAAGTAAAGGACCGTGTCGTGTCCCCGAAGCAAACATATTGAGGCTCAAAGCACCATCACCACTAAGGTATAACCATCTCCCTTTTTATTTACATTTTACACTAACCTTTATGCAGATGTCCGATCAGAACAAGTCAAAGCGCTGTACAATTAGAAGACCTTAAGGTTTCAAAACATATGTTGCACTCTTTTCCTTCGATCGGGTTTTATCCCAAGAAGGGTTTTACCGATAAGGTTTTTAACGAGGCAACATCTATATGCTACCTAAGGAAAATTTCACAAGTGCTCAAGGCTTCTTTTCAGTCAAACTCGAACACTGGGGGGAATCGCCCCGGAAGATCACCTTCTCGAAGAAGTCAAGATAAGACGAAAAGGGTCTCAGTAGGAAAATGATGTATCGGGCCAAACGGTTGAATGAACTGTGTCCGCATAGAATAATTGAGCCTTGACGACAAAAACATGTATACTTGTGCCAAGTAATCAAAAAGTATTTCCTCCTCCATCAAAATGCTTTATGCTTCAAAGAAGTCTGACACAGCTCCAAAGCCAAAAATTTCTTAACACTCAAGGACAACCATCAAATTCTAAGCCCTTAACGAGGCAACACCAAGTTTACAATAGAATGGCTCCAGAGCCAAAAAACTCTCGACGTCTCATGGACTGTCGTCGACTATCATGCCGTCTAACTATCAGAAACTCAAGGCCGTAAGACCCCAAGTGGGCAACCTCGAGTGCGAAAGCCCTCCATGCGGCAACACTAAAACTGTAAGACCTCAAGCAAGGGATGAACATACTTGTACCAAGTAAACTTATCTGTAAGACCTAAAGCAAAGCATGAACCATACTTGTACCAAGTAAACTTATCTATAAGACCTCAAGAAAGGCATGTTAAAATTTGTAAGACCTAATAAAAGGCATAATCCCGATCTTAAAGTTAAGGCTATATATCTGAACTTATAAGACCCCTAAAAAGGCATACCCTCGATATAGATGCCGAAACGACTTCACTCGTGGGACTGAAAGGCTCCGACAAGACATGAAGACTATGGTCACAAGGCTGTAACAGCAAAACTAACACGACTCGGGGACTCCTGACCGTCGCTACAAAATCATAGGCCTTCAATTAATTCGAAAAAACTTTGAAAAGAACCGGTTAATTAGGCTACCCTCAGCATAAACAAAAGAGCTTCAATCATATCAGTTCCAAATAATAGGCTTCGAAACAATTCAGCCATCGAGCGAAACCTCCCGAGGTGCTCAATTATCGTTACCTAACGGCTCACAATCGAGGTTCTTCTCGAACCGTCGAAGAGTCGGGCGAATACAAAAATTTCAAAAAGTCTTTAGCAAGGGTAAATAAAGCCTACATAAGAGGTCGTATTGACCCAATGCGTAAGAGCCACTATCGCCAGCCTATATTAAAAGGTCGTCCCGACCCAATGCATAAGAGCCACTGTCGCCAGCCTAAAATTAAATGTCGTACCGATCCAAAACGTAAGAGCCACTATCGCCAGCCTATATTAAGAGGTTGTACCGACCCAATGCATAAGAGCCTAAGGGCCAGCTTAAAAACTTAAGGGTCAATGAGCTCAAATCGAAATTGACTCGGAGACTGAGCCCGAAATAGTTAACTAAAAACGCCTAAGGGCAAATGCGTAAGAGCCCAGATGCCAGCCTATATTAGAGGTCGTACCGACCCCCAATGCGTAAGAGCCTATGAGCAATCCCAACAAGCCTCGGGGTTGAGTTACAAACCTAAGGGTTTTTACTCAAAGGCCAATTCGTCTGTCTAATCATTGACAAAATGTCAAAACTCAAGACAAAGAAAGACACACATGAGCAAATAGAAAGTCATGAAAGGAGAAAATCGAAAGGTTTCATTACATATACGTGTGCGTGGATATTGCAAGGCTACATTTACAAAGTTCTCTAAGAACACTGTACAGAGAATCAAATAGAAAAAATTCTAGTCAATTTTCCCCTTGAGGACTGCGACCCTATTGGCCTCTTCTACACTATCTTCGGCATCAGACAAGAGGAATTTGGCATCGTACTCATTCGCCTTGGCCTACGCTATCTCCCGAGAGATCGAAGCCCCCTGTGTGAATTTCTTCGAGGGTTTCCCTCCGAGATTTGCATCGGGCATACTTATTGCTTATGCTCTCTCGATCGGAAGCATTTCTCAACTTCGCTCGAACATCAGCAGCGTCTTTTAAATAAACAGACACTTTCTTGTCGGTCTTAGCCCGAATCTCTTCACCTTCAGCCTGGGCATCCACGACCTCGGCCTTCATCTCTAAAAGGTCGGACTCGAGCCTTGCAATCCTACTCATCTGAACTGAGTTGTTCTCACGGTCGTTCCGGAGGTGCACCTCAAGCATAGAAACATTGTCCAGGCATTCTTCTTGGCCGCAATGTGGGCATCTATCTGAGCCCCTAGCTCACTACACTCATGCTTGTCCTGGCTAACCTCGCCCTAAAGGAGTTCGAAATCCTCTGCCTTACTCTGCAACTGAGATATCAAAATATTAATCCTTGAGGATAGAAAAAGAAGAGGTGGCTTTCATAGTTCAGGCTCCGATTTGCTTCGTACTGTAGGTATACCAACTCATCTCCCCTCTTATCACAAAGAAGCCTGAGGGATTTCTCCCCGTCCAAGGCTTACCTCAACCTGGCTTCACGGCGGAGCAGCTCGAACTTGAGCTCATCAAAAGCCTATGAAAAAGGAGCTCAATAAGAAAGTGGGAGTGCAAAACTGAAAAACTGATACAATCAGCCAAAACTCAGCACAGAACAAAGCCTTTGAGCCTCCTCAAAGGTCGAACGCACACCTTCCGGCCTAGTTTCATCGGCCCCAGCAGAATTGCTCCCAATAGGAACGTGATTGTTCGAGACCTGGCTTGAGTCTGGCAGCCCCTAGCCTCGAACACCCTCGAAGTACCTTCGACGGGAAGAGAAGACGGTGGTAATAAATCCTTGCCCCTCGAAATACCTTCGACGAGAAGAGAAGATCGAGGTAAAGGATCCTTATCCCTCGAAGTACCTTCGATGGGAAAAGAAGACGATGGCAAAAGAGGAACCATTTTTCCAAGGCCGGAAGCCTCGAGTGTTGCAGGCTCAGTCGAGACATCTTCTCTGGGCCTCGGACGGGACTTATCTCACTATGAGTGCCTTCACCTTGCAAGGGTTCCTTCGATTTGTTATTA